TTTTTGTATTGTTCGAGATGCGGTTAAAGAACTAAACGACGATTTCGCTTAAATTTACTGGCAGAGATGCCACTGGTCATGTGTTGACAGACCGATCAGTGACTAAGCACCTGGAAAATGCGTAGCACGCACGATCTTGAGCACACTATTTTGTGTTTATCAAGAGGAACCTGTTCCGTATAACTACCGGGGGTGGGTCAGTCTTGGCGACAGTGAAATCCGAGGAGTTCCGGAGTAATCTAGAGACATCTGCGAAAGCTAAACGATTTTAAATGATAACAATAGACAATACAAAGGATCTAATTTACGCAAACGTAAACCTTTAAAATAGATAAGTTATTGCCACAATTTGGAGAAGCAATTATTTTAGGCGTGTCATTTTATGCAGGTGGCTGCTTGGGCCACCTTATCTAAACCTGAAACCTTTTTCCTGAAAGCATGTACATCCACAACGAAAGTCTGCAATGAATACGTTCGGGATGGATAGAAAAACCTTCTTGAATAAATTGCTTTTTTGAAAAGAAGGAACTTTTGACTGATTTCTTCGTTCATCTGACCTCTGGTATATCATATGCACGCGGCAAGCGGTTTCGTCGGTTTATTCTGGACGGATCTCACAGGGCACAGCAAGTCTGCTTAAGCTTCTGTAAGTAACCCCTGGTATTATATTGTATAAATATTATTTGCTTACTTCTTATCAGTTAGTAGGTAATAGCTCATATTTTCACAAGTCCTACGAACATAGCGCTAGTAACCAAAAGCAGTTATTAGTAATTTGATTATAGACTACGAAGTGCACTAACGATATAAGCCACCGGATCGGTACTAGCGACTGAGTATAATAGTATCATACTTCAACTGTTCAATGCCGGTTTTTCAACAATATAGACTGCTTAGTAATGCCCGTCTCAATAATTGGGAAAGGAACACCTTGATTTATTCATGACAAATATTTTCCTGTTTCCGTAAGCCACGACCCGAAGTGTTTCGAAAACCCGAATATGCAAAGACGTTACGCGCTCTAGCCATGATAGGGTGGCTGGTTCCTTATTTATGGATATCCACCTGGCTTCTGGGGAGAGCCAATCGAATTTATTGGCTGCGTAATTTAATATCCCTTCACTAATTACACGGAGTGGAAAACTAGCCAAACTCGTAAGGCTAGATCATGTTTAAGCTGATGTTTTCTAGAAATCGAAGTAATTCATTCCTGCATTTTTTCTGCATTAATTGTTGTCTTGATTACGAACCTCAAGTATCGAATTACAATGATACCATTAAATTGTTTGTCGCCATGATAAAATTAGATTTAGAGTTTATGAAAATACTTTGTTTCCTCTTCTTGGTATTTCTAATTTGTGGCATGTACAGTTAGGATTTACTAGTTAGGAAAATGCTTTTATTCCTCCATAGTGGTGTGCTCCTTATTGGTGATCCCATTAGGTGAATTTAATGGTTTTTCATAGGACTATGAAAATGTTTTGCTAAACAGAAGACAACGCCACAAATTTTCATAGTTATGGTTATTTTATTATTCTTCTCAACAGAGATGTGCTCTTTTAAACCCAAGTACCATTTTTACTCCCAGTTTAAACATAATCTAGAAGTTAGTACATATGTGTACGCCGACCATATACAGGACACACCTGCCCTGGGTAACTGCACCTGATGACGCCTATTGAGGCAGAAATATGTATCGTGCATGTCCTCATGTTAACGGTAATGCCTAATACAATAACCTAGAAGTGTTTAGCAGCTTTTTTAGCTCATACTGCTAGATGATAATTTTCTTTTTACTTAAGTCAAGTCCCCAATCCAGAGAAAGAGATTCTCCTGGGTTCAGAAAAATATAATAGGTCTTCAAATAAGATCATCACTTTTTTGAAACAAGCTGTTAATCTGAGTTGGTGAACGAAAAAGCATTTGTACATAATCACTTTTTGATAACTTAATAGCATTAAGCATTTCTGCACTTTCCTTGCTAGCACTTAGAGAAAAGGCTCCAACGAGCAGTCACTTCAGTTTTAAGCAGTGCCTTGTAACCTTTGACTAATTCAAGAATGCTTTGTTATGATCCCACAGGCAAGCCTGTTCCTTTACATTAGCCAATAAAATGTTTACATTCCACGTCAAATTTGCGCTGCTGATGAAGTCGTACTTGATTTTCAGCTTCACGAGGTCTTTGGTGTATGTGCTTGGCACGCGGTAAGTAACCCCGTTATTAAGCCTAGTCAAGTGTTCGTCATTTGAATATAATCAAATTACCGGATACACGACTTTAAAAAAACGGACTCCACAGAAATCAAATGAATGTCGTACTTTTTTAACCCTTCTTACTTTCGATTAACCTTCTTGAAAGTGTGTTCAATAAAAAGCAAGCGGATAATTCCGTTAACCCATTTATTTTGAGCAGACCTACCCTTGTGCAAAATCACAGACTCAACTCGTATTTGTAAGCCGTTAATGAGATACGACAGCTAGCCTTGCTTTGTAATACCCTAGATGCCCAAAGAAGCGAAGTTGAGTTGCTGAATCTTTTGTAGTCCTTGTGTTCTTTGCATCCCCCATTTAATAGGCCTCCGAGTATGCTTTATTGCACTGAAATCAAGGTGACCTAGGTGACCTATGAGAGAGTTTGAAAT